TGTCAAACTTCACCACCTCAAGCCAAACTTCACCCATCTCAATTAATGGCATCTCCGCTCCTTCAATGCCCAGGCTAAAAAATCTATCTTTGACTCCTCTTTTTCTTGTTCAACACTGTACGCCCAAACCAGGGGAAAGTCCCAATGACTCCATCCAGTTCAACCGGTTTTTATTTTTCTGCTAATACTTGAGTCCAAGTCACCATCATTTCTCACTTAGATTATTTTTACTACTTCTTAACAGGCACCTCATTTCCATATTTGGCTTCTTTCACAGTTTTCTCAGAAACCTAAATGACCAGCCATTTTACTCAAAAAATATGACACAGTCCTGACAACAGCATTAAATGTATGACACCCAAGCTTCCCTCCACTGTTTGCCCACCCTCCCCTCCTCCCACGCTGTCCTTCAATCACTCTGCTCCAGGCACAGTGGTTCCTCATGACCCTTCACCACCCTAAGCACATCCCTCCCTCTGGACCTTTGCTCTGGTTGTTCCCTCTGTTTGAAATGTTCTTTCCCTTAGATATTCATCTCACCAAGTCTTTGTTCCAACGTCTCCTTCTACGTGAGCTGCCCTGAGCATGGCAATTGTAAATATCCCCTTCCATTCCTGACCCCCCCTTATTATGCGATACAGTTTTGCTTCAATAATCACCTTAAATATACAATATTGTGTATCTGTCATGTTTAATGTTTTCCCTCATTTGAATTTAATTTCCACTTGGAGTGGAATTTTTGTGTTCCACACACTCGTATTTCCCTGGTATCTGCACCACCACCAGGCACAGAGTACACTAGTCACAAATATTTGCCGTATGAATAAATAAAGGATACAGGAAGACTTTAACTGAGAAAAAGGAAAGTCCTGTACTATCATTTAAGGGAATTCAAATCCTCTGTTTTAAATGCCAAACTCTAATGACAACCACTTAAACGTTTAAAGAGATCAAAAAACCAAATTTCTTCCAAATATCTATCCTGTTTTGGCAAATGGCCCAATCACCTATCTACCGGGTTGTGCAAACCTGAAACGTGAAGTCAGCCTTCACTGACCCCTCACCCTCCACATCCGAGTCATCAAAGAGGTCTATGAATTTTAACATAAAAATTCAGCTCAAATTCAACCACTTCTTTTTATCTCCACTCCTCGGATTCCAGTTCAAGCCTTCACAGTCTCACCTGTTCTGCTTTCATGGCATCCTATCTCTTCTCTCTGCTTTATTTTCTGCCTTCTTCAATTTGTTTCCTAAATAGCAGCAAACATGTTCTTTAAAATGTAAACTGGACGATACCCCTCTATTAAAATCTCAAAATCCCACAGACCTCGGTCCGTGAAGGTGCAGGCTCCTGTCCTCTGCTCAACTCCACCTGTGGCCCTCCATCCCTTACATACTCTGCAGCGTCCACAGAAGTCTTCTCTCAGGCCCTCCAACCTGTCTTCTCTGCTCCCTGAGGCTGTCTGCACACGCTGCTCTCACTTCCCTCCGCTCTTCCACCTTTAGATCTCAGTCCCAAATATGTTGCCTCCTGTTTAAAAGCAGTTCTCCCCTTCTATTCTTTTTCCTTGTTTGTTTCCTTCATAATTCCTAACAATTTGCTTGCTTTGTTCTTATTTCTTTCCCATGACAATCTAAGTCCTATGAGAGTAGGGACCACCATTGCAGGTGTGAAGGGAGGGGGTAGGGCTTCAATGGAAATGTCGGAGAAGTGAGAGCTGTAGCTCTCCCTCAGCTGGAGAGTGATCATCGCAACACTGATCACTAATGCCCTCCCTCCACATGGGACACTTGCATTATTTCTGAAGGAACTAAAGACAAGGTTTCACTGGCAAATGCCATTAATTTCAACTGCTATGGACTGAACTGTGTCCTCCTGAAACATATGTAGAACTACCACCAATGTGAAGCCAGCTGAAGACTGGACCTTTGGGAGATAGATAGGTTTAGATGAAATCATAAATATGGGGGCCCCCGTGGTGGTGCAGCGGTTAAAGACAGAGTTATCAAGCTATTGCCAGCGACTGCAGCACAAGTTCAATCACTGGCCAGCCATGGAAGTGACCCACATGGCGTAGCAGACCTCTCCTGTCTCGCCTGCTGCTCCCCTCAGCAGTGCATTTCAGTAGATCTGCCTGTTCTGTTCCCAACTCTCTCTGGTGAATCCTCTCACCTCTGCATCTCAGCCCAATACCCCAGTTCTTGTATGCATAAATAAATAAATCTTTAAAAAAAAAAAAGGAAATCATAAAAATGGGGCCCTTATGATGAGATTAGTGCTCTTATAAAAAGAGGAAGACATCAGGCCTTCTCTCTGCCACATACGAACACAGCGGGAAGGTGGCTGTCTGAGAGTCAAGAAGAGAGCCCTCACCAGCACCCTGATCTCAAACCTCTAGCCTCTAAAATTGTGCTATAAATTTCTGTTGTTTGAGCTATACAAGCTATGATTTTTTGTTATGGCAGCCTGAGCTAAGACACCAAACACATTGAGAATGTTCCAGTCTCATCTGTCATATAGTCAAGGAGACATGTAAAAAGACACCTAATGCAGGGCCTCCCCTGGTGGCGCAGCGTTTGAGCACTGGGCTGCAAGGCTGCTCGCAGCCTCTGCAGCACCCGCAAGGGTCCCACAAAAAAAAAAAAAAAAAAAAAGACACCTAATGCAGCAACTTTCTCTGTCAAGACTGTTCCCACCGCCCCCTCTTTTTCCCCTGCTTGTCGATGCACTTCTCCACACAGATACGCTTGAAAAGGTAGCACTGCTGAAGCTACTGCACTGCCCACAAGTATCCAAACACACATAACGACTTCACAACTGGCCCAAAGGGTGGTGGGTACCACCCTCCCCTCGCCACCCTCCCTCCCTACCTCCATGCAATAAATGGGTGAGTCAGGAACACCAAGACATATCAACAACTGCATTTTGTTCAGAAAGACTCACTGATGTTTGAGTTAGAAGTAATTTTGGTTGGAACTTGTGACAGCGCATAGAAACATCTCCTCAGGCGATCTTCCCATGGGATTTCAGTCTAAACGAGAATCTCATAGGAATCTTTATTAAACTATTGTTTGTTTGCTTGTGTGTGTGTGTGTGTGTGTGTGTTTTAAGTGGATGCTTCTAAAAGTTTGGTTTCCCTCCTCTAAAACCAGGCTCTAATTGTAGATTAGAATGAAGCAACAACTAAATTCTGTGAGACACTTTGTTAGAAAATTACTTTCAACACTTCAGGAGCTTTTATGTCTTATAAAAGGGCATATAGTCTAATGCTCTATTTTTAAAAATTCGGATTCTTTGTAGAATCTGAATTACCAAGCCACTTATTTCTCTCATACTTCTGCCTGTGGATTTCAAGACATAGCCATCACATTTTGTGAAAACAAAAAACTAATGTCCATTTTACAAGGAGAAATCAGGAAAAGTGAGCAGCTGGCAGCAGTCTACAGTAGGTACACTCCTGTCCCGGAGCCCAGAAATCCACTTCTGCAAGAAGGAACAATGCTCACACCAAATCACCCAACACATAAAGCTTGCTTACAAAATAGAGAAAGGGAGTGTTGTTAGTGTTTTGTTACTGGAACAATGAAAGTTGCTGTGAAGCAGGGCCTGGACACCGAGTAGCAATAGGTACTAAGAAGACCTCTACATTCCAAACATTAATCGATCTTGCATTAAGTGTAGCAGGAGACAAAGCACTAGGAAAGGAAAACACTCTGAGTGAAATTCTGAGGGTCCTAAAATTGAAGAAACCATCAAAAACTTTTTTTAAAGATTAACATTTCTTCATTTTTCCAATCATTTTGGTAAAAAACCTCATCTGCACAAAATCCAGCCTGCCTTTCAGCAACCACTGTCTACTCCTCCCTCCTCTGTCTGTCTGTGGCAGGGGGAAGAAACAGGAGCTTACAGTTTAGGGCCAAGCACAATGTAGCTGCTTTTCACAGAAAGGGTTTAAGCTGCTGGCTTACCATTCCCAGCAGTGGTTACAGAAATAAAGGACAACATAAACTAGACGTCCCAGCCCACTTAAAAATAGAATCATCTAGTCCTATCTCATATTTTTTTCCAGAGAGATGCAGTAACTTCTTCATAGTTACATGGGGAACACGTAATTAATTATGCCAGGAAATAACATGCATGTCTCCTCACTCTTAGTCTAACGCCTATTCATACACCAGGTTGCCTCCCATTTTGTAATCAAAGTAGTAAATCAAGGAGTAAGGAGCCTGCCTCATGAACACCTGAGTTTCTACGTCCCAGAATTCTAACCTCAAAAAGCCAAGTGAAGAATGTTTGGGGAAAGCCTGCCAACAAACCCAGCAGACAGAGTACTTCACACTCAGGGGGCTCTTCCTCCATCACACCAGTCCCTCCCATTTTACCCCTGTGACTTTTCAAATTGCCCTGCTCCGCAAGCACAGAAACAACTGCGTATATGTATTTCCCCAAGAAAGGGTAAGTCAAAAAGAAGAAAATAAACTAGTTTATTTCTGCCAGGATTTTGGCATAGTGGGACTGTGCAGGAATGTACCTACTGTGGAATCTTCCCACACTTCTGAATTGTTAAGAGTAACCAGCAGAGGCATGTTCCATACACTCCCCAAATATCTGAGCTGGCAACAACAAAAGATATTCAGAGATCTTAGCCCTGGGACAATAGCTTCTGTCAGTCAACTACAGTTCTCACGACTCTGGGTTTCTGCTCTTACTTCAACTTCATACCAAGGAGCATATCACACCTGTACAAGTGCTTGAGAAAACCACGCAAATGAATTCACACAGCAGTATACAATTTTGGCAGGGCACCAAGACTAATGATAAAGTACATATTAAAAAAGAATTACAAGACTTTACACAAGCTTACACTTAACATTTCTACAACAGATCTGGGGCTTCAGTAACCTGTCTTTTGAGACCAACACCAGAAAGGATCAGCTAGAGTTTCCATGCCCAGGGAGTTACCTGGAAAGAAGGCAAAGATCAGCATGTTATCTCTTACCTGAAGCCAAAGGTCGGATCCACTCTTTGCTATTTAGGTCAAGTCTCCAGAGGTCGTTGAAGGCAGCATTGCAGCTGCTCTGCGTACAGCCTCCAAACACATACATAGACTGATTAGCATCATAATAGCATGCACCTAGAAAGACAAAAATTAATAACATGTTTAATTTTGTTTAATTAACAAGAGCTCATACATTCCAAGCACCAATTATTTCATATATTTTGCAACTGTGTTCGCACCTATGAGCTTTCTATGACTGGCCACTAGTCTTCAGGTTGGTCAAAATCACATTAACCTTTAAAATGAGGCTCAGAGACTCAACAAAAACAAAGTAAATAATCCAGTCAAATAATCCAGTAAATAATCCAGAGCTAAAAAGAAACTTCTCCAAAGAGGAAATGCAAATGGCCAACAGGCATATGAAAAACTGTTCAACATCACTTGTAATCAGGGAAATGCAAATCAAAACTACAATGAGATACCATCTTACACCAGTGAGAAATGGCACATATTAAAAAAACTAGCAACAACAAATGTTGGCGAGGATGTAGAGAAAAAGGAACCCTCGTGCACTGCTGGTGGGAGTGCAAACTGGTCCAACCACTATGGAAAGCTGTCTGGAGATTCCTCATCCTGCTAAAGATGGAGCTTCCACATGATCCAACAATTTCACTCCTAGGTATTTACCCAAAAGACATGGAAACATTCATTCAAAAGGGCACCTGCACCCCTATGTTTAGAGCAACACTATTTACAATAGCTAAGCTATGGAAACAACCCAAATGCCCAAAAATAGATGACTGGATCAAGAAGAGGTGGTACATATACACCATGGAATATTACTCAGCAATCAAAAAAGATAAACTCATGCAATTTGCAGCAATATGGATGGAGCTGGAAGGGATCATGCTCAGAGAAATAAACCAGAAAGAAAAAGAAAAATACTGGATGGTCTCACTCATAGCAGGAGTTTGGAGGACCTAAATAAGGGACCAGGAAAAAGACTAATTATAATAAAGTAAAAATCAAAATCAACAAGCAACTATAAACCAGAGACACACTACAAGGTGGCGAGGAGGGAGGAGGATCAAAACAAGGCGGGGGTGGGAACTGTGTGGGGACTATAACCAAGATGAAAATGCATACAATGTGCAAAAATGAAAATGATGTAAAAAAATATATAAAATTAAAAAATGAAAAATAAATAAATAAAATGAGGTTCAGAGAAAAGCTATGAAACTTTACTTCTGAGCACACCAAGCAAACTGGCAATGATGCCACTAAATAAGAAGCATAATTTCAGGAAGAGCACACAAGAATTCAAATTAAGGATGCTCAATGAGTGAAATTTCAGTACAGCTGCATGATTCATCTACATCTGCATTACTATACTCCAGGGCTAGGAAAGCCAGTCAGTTCTAACAGGTGCACACTATTCTCCCATCCTCTCCTCCAGATCTCTTCTTGTTTCAGCTTTCCAGTGAAATCTTAAGTACAAATCAGCAAACAAATCTTTAAATGAAAGAGAATGAGAGAAAACAATTTTAATCAAGGCCATGAAATAGCCACACATAAAGACCAATGTAGCTGGAGAAACGCAGAAGCAGGATAGTTCCAAAGCAATTAATACGCATGGAGTTATTAACCCCCCAGGAGCCACCAAAGTAGGCTGATTGGTGCTGAACAGAAAACCAGTGGGTCAGTAATATTCAAAAAGCACCAATGTTTCTGGAAGTCTTAATTAAATGGATATAGACACCTCACCCAGGGCACCATTCTGAAGAAAATCAACAATGACTATGAGAATCAAAAAGGCCAGCGCCAGAGTCCAGACAATAGGCATAAGAGCTAAACTCTGCCACCTTGCTTCTCCCTGAAAGCTTGTTTAGATCATTGGAAAAGATGACCACACTCCTTACGGCTCTGCGTTTACCATCTTGGATCCAGGAAGAGAGCTGAGCAAAACTTTCCTTTCCATTCATGTCATGTATACCAATGGGGTTCTAGGCTAGACAACTAGGCTAGACAGTTAAGCATCTCATAAAATTAGGCTAGACAGTTAGGCATCACATAAAAGAGGAAAAGGAAAAGAAATTCAGAAATCCGACCCACTGGTGCATGATTTCAGTAATGAGCTAGCTTACTTGTACGTCTGGATCAGTTTAGCATACTTCTATGTTTAAGATCACTTCTAAATTCTGGCACCATTTATTCAAGTTCAGAAAAAGGGAAAAGCTACTCTATGGACACATTCAATCTACTGCTATAATTACCTCTGTGATATACACTAACATTGGGGCTATTCCCCTCTTCCCCACCCCCCCACCCTAACTCAGCCCACCAATAGGCCCTTTAGAGACTCTACACTAGGAAGGCCATTTCAGAAAACTGCAAGAGTTAAAAAACAGTGTGCTTAGCCACTTATATCCAACAATCTCAGTCTGTGGAGGGAGTAAATCCAATTCATCTGCTGCTGACATTGTGCAATAATGGAGCTGCAAATTTTTCAAAATAACGAAGACTTTAGAGAAGTGAAGAAATACCAGGCAATGATCAACTGGTTCATAGCTACAAAATACTTAATATAGTCCCAGAATTAAATATACTACACTGGTATAAGAAGATTTAAACTCTCTTATACCCTTCACTGACTTTACCTACCTTTGAAAATAACACCTAACCCCTATCTGGATCTTTTTTTTAATCTACATCCCAACAAGAAAATCTATTAAGAGGTAAAATCCTATGAAATTCCATTGCTCATATTTCGCCTGTTAAGAACTGTCAATAACAAAGGATCAGGCTAGATGACATTAGAGAAACACGTTTTATCTTCACTAAGGGAGCTGAGCTTCAGAATTCTTAGTCCTCTCATACCTGTTTAAAACTAGCTGTTTTAACAAATGGGATAATTCTGAACTGAACCAACTTGTGCCAGATGTAAAAGAACATTCCTTTCCTCCTGATAATCCATACCTCCAGAACAGAAATTAGTAATGTCCTATGGCTTCTGAAACCTTAATTAATGCCCATTATAACAATGTTTAATATGACAAGCCCATGATTTCATAACTGAGTCAAGGGCTCATTTATGTCTCACTGTTCCTCAAAGATCAACTCTTGGCAGCTGCTTCCTCATGTAGCAAAAGAGCACAGTGTCTTTATTTTTCAAAGAGTTAGCAAACATTCTTCTTCTCTATTTGGATTGAAAACCCAGCCAGCAGCTGGGCCCCATGAGGTCCTCACCACATGTATTTTAATCCTAAACTAAAATAAGGCAATAGGCATTTTCCTGCTTCGTTATGAGCAAAAAAAAAAAAGTTTCTGGAAGAGGAAGGCACAGCCTAAACCAGACAAAGCTAATGGTACTGAAACCACAAGTTCACACACTTCATTTTCAATGTCCAGCAGCTGACTATCAAAGAAGCTGGGAAAGGAAAGGAGTCAGGTTAGGTAGCTATGTTTAGAATTCAGATATAATGAGAAAATAACCATCAATAATACACTCAAAAATTTTGAGCATCCTACTGAACTTGGTTTATTGTCTATTTTTATTTAAGACACCTACATGCTGGTATGAGGGGTGGGTGGACCTGACAAGTTCAATGGGCCTTTTAGGAAAATATTAAGAATTTGAGCAAATACCAGTGCTCAAGTAGTAATTTCCCTTTTATCAAAGTTCTCCACCCAAAACAGAACATTTTCCTCTCAGACATCTAAATCATTGGAATATGCTATATAAAAGTTCCAGTTCACAGCACATCCTGAGTACTCTGCTAAGAAATAACAGTGAAAATGTGTACTCCAATTATTAGATCTCTTCAAGTTTTCTGAAATGGGTTTGATTGCACCATGGACAACCACTGCAAGACACAGGTCTCAAGTTAATATTTAGTAATTCCTATTCAAAGACAAACAGTCCCAGCTACACTCAGCCAGCACACTGTTCTTCGCACTCTGAATACTCCCTACTACATCACAACCCTAGCGAGTGAACAGTCTTCCAGTTGTTTCATATTTTCCATGGTGCCTGGTGGTAATTCAGTAAATGTTTACTGAACTCTTAACTTTTACATTTTCAGAAGTTAAATTCTCTTTTGTTTTCCTACTTGTCTCCAGGGAAAAATCTCCAGGCTTTTATCCCATGCTCAGAGACTATTCTGTCATGTGCCTCACATCTACAAGCCAGGGCATATTTGATAAGGTCTGTAATTATATAACTATGGAACAAGCAAGGCTGGTTATCCAGTCTGGGCCTGCTGGCTACTGCAAGCGCGCGATGAGCATGTGTGTGGAATGACTTGACCATATTTGGAACTTAAACTGTAAAATGATTTTCAATGCATGGTGCCGGGAACTCAACGAGCCCCTACATCAGTCTGAAAAGGACATCCATTATCTGGGGCTTGCATGATGGGTCATGCACACACTCACCAAAAACCTAGGAGAAATGGCTTCATTTCATTTCCCTTGCCTTTTTTTTTTTTTTGACCTAGACATTTACAAAAGAAAGAAGCCTTACTGCCCATATCTTTGTTATACCTAATTCCACAGATTTTAATAGGTATCCACTATGAACCAGGTGTTGTGGAAGGTGCACAGATATCTAAGACATGGAACCCACCTGCCCTCAAGAAGAAAACAGTCTTGGGGCCTCCACTACAGCATGAGTTCGATCCCCGGCCAGGGAGGTGGCTCACATGGCACAGCAGACCTCTCCTGACTCACCCGCTGCTCCCCTTAGCAGTGTATTTCAGTAGATCTGACTGTTCTGCTCCCCACTCTGTCTCTGGTGAATCCTCTCCCCCCCCCAACACCTTGGCCCATACCCCAGTTCTTGTATGCACAAATAATCTTTAAAAAGAAGAAGAAAACAGTCTGGTGGAAGATACATCATCATCATCCTATCATTTTTCAATTTAAAACATGTTTTTGTAAGTGTTTCCTCAATTAAATTTCTCAAAAACCCTGTGGCAGAGATAGAATTTGTCATATACATTTCACAGATGAGGAAATTGTGGGTCAGAAAAGCCAAGGAACATGCTTCCCAAGACCAACGTTCTCCTTTTGCATGCAGCCTCCCTTATACAGGTAATTACAATTTTTAAAAAAGAAAAAAGACAGTAATAAGCAAT